CAGGCATTCATTCCTGCCTGTGGCAGGGGGTCAGGCTAGATGATCTGTTCAGGTCCCTCCTGACCCTAGCTACTATGAAACTATGAGACAGGCAGAACTCGTCATGTGGGTGGGTGTTTGGGCGACCGTGTCTGTCTTGGGGCACAGGGGGGTTAAATCTAGTGCAGGCCTGAGTGCTGGGCCCTGCCAGGCCACGAAGCCTGCCAGCTGTGTTTCATCTGGTGAGTCTGTCATCTGGGGCCCTGCACCCCAAGCTGCTGACAGGCAAAAATCATGATGTGGGTGGGTGACACTGTATATGTGTTAAAGTGCACCCTTCCTGGTGGTGGAGCCTCTGCACAACATGGCCACTGAGGCCTCCTCCTCCACTACAGCCTCACACCCGGTCCTCCGCTTTACATGACAACAGGTAAAATAACTTAGCTGGCTGAACACCAGTAGCATCAGCATCAAAGGTACCCAAACAGGACTGTCACAGAGCCTTTCTTTTTATAAAGGAATTGACAGCAAGAAGTAAAGATGACGTGTTGTGTTGTGTTGTGTTGTGCTGTGTTGGACATATGATGTTATTCATGGTGTGTGATGGCTTATCTTGTGTTTTTATGTCTATATGTGTATTATGAAAAAAAAATGAGTACTTAAAAAACATGCATCTTTGGAAGCTTTAGGGTTGAAAACCGCTTTGTCAGGCTGAGGAAGTACCTGCAGCTGGTCCTGGATGGAAGGAACAGTAAAGAAGCCAGAGGCTGGCCTGGCCCATAATGCAGGCAAGAAAGCCAGTCAGTGAAAATGGAAATGGAGGCGTCGGGTGGGGGGCCACAGGACAGGTTGGAGTGGGGGGCAGGGGGGAAAGGGGCTTCAAAGGGGGTTATTCAAAGAAATAAATTGAATCATAATACTAATAATAATTGAATAGAATAGTTAAGCTAAGCTAAATCCTACCCACTCCTTCGTAACAAGAAAAAGGACCAGGCAAGTTCAACTAGTACTGAGCTAGCAAGCCACAATGTCTCAGCGTGAGCATTTGTCTCTCACAAAGGTCCTGACAGGCACCAAGCTGCGAAAGAGTACAGAACATCTCAAACCAGAGGCTTTTATGCTGTTTCTAGTCCCACCCCACAGACGCTGCCATTGGAAAGGTTGCCAGAGAGAAATCCTTCTTGCTGGCTACCTACAGAGGTCAGTCTTCCCCCCACTCCCCGTCCCT